ATTTTTAGTAGAGATGACCATCTCCCTATGTTGCCCAGGCTGGTCTCAAACTCTTGAGCTCAAGCAATCCTCTTGCCTCTGCTTCCCAAATTGCTGGGATTATAGGCATGAGACACCATGATCAGCAGAAGTATTCTGTTTTCTAGTCGGTCTTGATTCTAGTATAAGTCTAAAGTGTCTAGAGAGCATTGTCCAATAGAACTTTCTGTGATGAAAATGTTCTATGATCTGCACTGTGCAATATGATAGGCACTAGGCACATGCGTACTGGCTACCTAAAATCTGGCCGGAAAGGTGGCTCATGCCTATAATCACAGCACTTTCGGAGGCCAATCTGGGAGGTTGGCTTGAGCCCAGGAGTTTGAGACCAGCCTGGGCAACAAAGTGAAACCCTGTCTTTACTGAAAATAAAAAAATTAGCTGGATGTAGTGGTGCAGGCCTGTAGTCCCAGTTCCTCAGGAGGAGATGTGGTAGGATCACTTGAGCCAGGAGGTTGAAGCTGCAGTGAGCCATGATCACACCACTGCACTCCAGCCTGGGCAACAGAGCAAGACCCTGTCTCAAAAGAACAAAAAAAAAAAAAAAAAAAAAAGGAAAGAAAAGAAAAGAAAAGAAAAGAAAATGAAGAGACGGCAGGGACTGTTCTCTCTCTCTCTCTCCCTATCACGTGAAGACACATAAAGAGAGAAGCCATCTACAAGCCAAGAAGAAAGTCCTCACCAGAATTCAACCATGCTGGCAACCTCACCTTGAACTTCTGGCCTCCAGAATTTCTGTTGTTTAAGCCACCCAGTCTATGGTATTTTGTTATGGTAGCTTGAACAAAGACACAATATCTATGAAGATTAATGCAATCCAGTATAAATGGAAAGTATATACCAAACAGTAGTTGTCACTACTTGGTTGAATGCAAAACTCACATTACTTGAGTGAAACTTCACTCTTGCAGAGGACCAAGGAAAACATGACCATGCTTTTCTGTAATTCTGGAGTAGGGAAAAGATTAAGACAGACTGAATTGAAAAGCAAAGACAATGGATGGTGCAGAAAGATGGAATAGACATACTTTTCTCAATTCCTCCCAATAAATACAGCTAAGTACAAGTCAAAGACAACTCCTTTCTCTGACTCTAACAGCACCCTCTTTGATATAATTATAGCCTTTGGCAGTAACTCTACTTTGTTAGTGACTATCTTGCAAGATGTTCGCAGTGCTTCATAAACAGCAAGTGCTCTGAAAATAGTCAATAAATGAATAAACTGTCTGCTTCGGTCAGATGCACAGCTCTCGTGTTTCCTTCTCCCCTTCATACTCAATATTCTTGAACTCACCTCCAGACTTTGTTCAGGCTGGGCGTGGTGGCTCATGCCTATAATCCCAGCACTTTGAAAGGGCAAGGCAGGAAGACTGCTTGAGGCCAGGAGCTCAAGACTAGCCTGGGCAACACAGCGAGACCCCATCTCAAAAAAAAAAACAAACAACATAGACATGGTGGCTTGCATCTATTGTCCTAGCCCCTTGGGAGGCTGAGGTGGGAGGACCCCTTGGGTCCAGGAGTCCAAGGCTGCAGTAAGCTATGATCATGCTACTGCACTCTAGCCTGGGCAATAAGAGTGAGACGCTGTCTCCAAAAAGGAAAAAAGGACTTTGTTCATCCTGCTCCCACCGTGAGAAAACCATCTCTTCAGTTTTCTTTCTTTTTATTTATTTATTTTTTGAGACAGAGTTTCGCTCTGTCGTCCAAGCTGGAGTGCAGTGGCATGATCTCGGCTCACCTCAACCTCTGCTTCCTGGATTCAAGGGATTCTCCTGCCTCAGCCTCCTGAGTAGCTGGGATTACAGGTGTGCGCCAGAACACACTGGTTATTTTATTTATTTATTTATTTATTTATTTATTTATTGTATTTTTAGTAGAGACAGGGTTTCTCTATGTTGACCAGGTTAGTCTCAAACACCCCACCTCAAGTGATCCGCCCTCCTTGGCCTCCCAAAGTGCTGGGATTACAGGTGTGAGCCACTGCACCAGGCTCTTTCTTCAGTTTTCTATCTGCCCACATCTTACCCATATGCTAAAGTCTGAATGTTTGTGTCACTCAAAATTTATATGTTGAAATCCTAACTCCTAAGGTGATGGTATGAGGAGGTGGGGCCTTTTGGGAGGTGATTAGGCCCACTTTCATGAATAAAATTAGTGCCCTTTTAGAAGATGCTCCAGAGAGCTGCTTTGCCATTCCACCGTGTGAGGACACAGCAAGAAGCCACCTATGAACCAGGAAACAGGCCCTTGCCAGACACTGAATCTGCTGGCACCCTGACCTTGGACTTTCCAGCCTCCAGAACTGTGAGAAATAAATTTCCGTTGTTCGTAAACTACCTAGTTTATGGCATTTTGTTATAGAAGCCCACACTGACTAACACACCATCTCTCATGGCTTGGTTTAAGTGGTTCTCAACCAAGAAAGATTTTACCCCTCTCCCAAGGGACATGTAGCAATATCTGTAGACATTATGGTTGGCATCTAGTGGGCAGAGGCCAGGGATACTCTCAAACATCCTACAATACACAGGACAGCCCTCACCCCCACCCCACAGGAAAAAATTATCTGGCCTAAAATGTCAATAGCGCATCAGTTGAGAATAACTGGTTTAAATCAATCTCTCTTGGATCCCTTCCCATGTAATAACACTGATCTTTTCTTCCCAATACCTATGATCTCCAAGAAAGTTTAGAACAAGTTGTGCATTTCCTGAGTTTTTTCTCTGCATGTTATTTATAGACAATATGCTGACTTCCTTTAAATCCACGGGAGCCTTGTACAAGTCAGCCAGAGCTGCCTCTCCTTTTTCAGCATGCAAGGATATACCCTTCTCTCTGAATCCTTCTCATACAATTGCTTGTTCCCTCCCTCATACTACCATTATTCCTATCGCATGCACATGTACACAACACACTCCCATTATGAAACTCATCACAACTATTTGCTCACATGTCTGCAGCTTCTTTACACTGAAAGCTCCTTAAACTAGAACTCTGACATATTCTATTGCATATAAAGCAGTTCCTCACACAAAATAGGGGACCAATAAAGATTTGGCGGGTTACAAAAATAACAACAGACATCATCATTTCTCGGTCACCTACAGAATGCCATAAACTGGTGTCCTGGCACTTCATTCTCCTTATCGCTAATTCTCACTGCAATCTACATAAGTGAAGAGGAAACTGAGGTCCAGAGAGTTTATTCAAACGACCTTCCCGTGGCCTTACTTTTAAAGTCAGTTCAAACCGCATCTATTTGGATCAAAAATTCGTGATCTTGCCCTTACACACTTGGGGCTAACGGATGGAGAGATAGCGCCTCGGACAGGAGGGTAAACTGTCCCAGACTCACTACTGTGGCGTGAAAAGGGCCACAACCATAATCCAGGTCGACGAATTCCCGGCTCGGGGTCCCCGTGGAGTGTCCCTGAGGGAGGCGACAATTCCCGCCACTTTCCCCATTGCCGTCCCCCGCTTCTTCCCTACCTGGTTGTCCGAGTTGTCTCCGTCTGGTGGCACCCCAACTTCCCCTACTTGTACCCACCTCCTTTCCTCAGCCCCCTTCGCCTGTAGCTGAAAAGTGAGCGCGGGCTCTTGCGTCATCATCCGTCGCCGGCGAGTGGTCACATGATGCCCCTCCCTGCTCCCCGCCGCTTCGGTCATGTGACCGTCTGGGAAGTCAGGGGCGGAAGCCGGGCTCTGACCGGTTCCAGGTCCGGGACTGGGGATAGAAGAGGACTGCCGCCGTGAGGGAGAGGTGGAACCTGGGTGCCGACTCCGCGCGCAACCTCCTGCCCTGCGCGTGCGCCGCTGGCGCGGCCCGGCTGACAGGTGAGTGGGGATGGGATGAGCGCGCCCCATTTTTGCATGGCCCCCTTCACCTCCCCGCTGGGCCGCGCTGGCCCTGGGGTGGTCTCCAGCGTCGCGTGCAGCCTGGATGGGGGACTCGGGATGGAGGGCTTAGGGGCTTTCTGGGGCGGGGGCTGCAGTCCAGCTCTTCGTCTCCGCTTAGGGGGAAATCATTTTGCACACCCCTTCCTCGCTTTAGGAAGCACCGTTCAGCTGGCTGCTTGGTCCGAATCTCATCCTTCCGAGTTTCCGGTAACACTGCTGTGTGGATGTCGTCGTTATTTCTCTCTTTGCTTTTGAGAAAACTGAAAGGCTAGTAGTGAGGACTTTTACAGCCTGACGGACCTGGATTTGCATTCTAGTTATGCCATGGGCTGTGAGTTTGGGCAAGTCATTGCTGCTCGCTGCGTCTTAATGCCTTCACCTGTGCTAATGCCAAAATCCTTTGCATTTTGCGGGGGGGGGAAATGTTCCCAAGGCCCTGATTCCTCTATGATCGGACAGGAAAAAGAAAAAAAGTCACAGAGTCGTAGAACTGGGTCTCCTGATTGCAAGCGCATGGAGCTCCCTCAAACATAAGGTGAAGGGTAGTGAGGGAGAAGTTTTCCTGTCTTTGTGCACAAGGGACACCTTCTCTAATTGTCCTTCACCTGCCTTTCCCAGGATTTCAAGTTCAGCCTCATGTCAGAACTTTTGTGGAAAACATATGCAGCTTGCATTTATTTTGATCGACAACCATTATATTTTGTTTGTGATAATGGATTTGTGGAGATCAGTGCTTCCTTTATGGAACTGAGATTTTGCGAAAGGCTAAATATAGACCTGCCTTCTTTTGTCCTCTGAAGGGGGTAAACAGTGTTTGTCCACGACAATTCGATTTCCTTAAGAAATATTATTCTGCACTCTGGGTAATTGGTATAATGATGCCATGCCTCATTCTTGAAAGCATGTCTTTTGATTAGGATTACTTCCCAAACTGAAAATCACAGTTCCACGCCAAATTCTTAAAAATGAAGTTACCGGCGCTTGTAAAAGAAAATAAGAAAATACAGTGGGATCTCTGGATTTCATGCCGATAGTAATACAGCCTGTATTGAGAGAGCTGATCTTCAAGTTTTCTTAATCCCTAGCATGAAGAGAACCTCTGAAAGGATAATTTACCATAGCTTCTTCTACAGAGTTTATTTGGACCTAATTCTGAAGTGGTTTTTTAAGACTTAACTGAGTCTTAACACTTTGTAAAGCCATCCATATACCTCTTAGCTGCAACTTGATTAGGCATTTTTAATGATGGTTCTTAGATTCTGTTCTTCAGGACCAGTCCTTCAGCCAACGAGGGGGCTATTTAACAATTACTCTAGCCAAATTATATTTGTGCAAATTATGGAAATTCCATTTGTTACATGGAAAATATAACTAGTCCAGGTTAGGAGGTCTAGTACGTAAAATGTAACTAAGTGATTTCCTTCTTTCATTTAATCTTGTTTTAACTTCTTCCATCTTCAAAAACTTAGCAGGAGATGCTTGCATTATTAGAAATAGAAAACACAAGTGCCCTTCATGGGGCCAAACAGATTACAAGCAGTGAGTTCATTTCACTAAAAGTATATTAAATATAACATATTTTGCTTTCGCGTTAAAAATTTAATATAAAGTTTATATATGGAATTTTAGAAAGGCAATTTATGTAGGTAATAAAGACCCATAATATTTGTTTTACTATTGCCAAACATATTTGATTATTATTATCCTTCTCATGTTCTTTTAAAGTTTCTACAATGTAATTCTTGAGTAAGGACCTAAGGATTAAAATAAGAGATTGACACACGAAAGTCTTGATTTCTGTCGTTATCCCAGACTGAAGCTTCCCTGAATGTGTGCATGCAGGTGCTGAGTCTGCCTGTCCTTCTGTATGTTGGGAGAGAGTAGAGTAAAGGGCAGGTAATGTTACTTTGCTTTAAGATGTTTTTCCCAGGTCTACATTGTTGCCCTGTCATGGTATCCAAAATCAGGGAGCTCTTGGACCTGTTAATCATCGCTTGCCCTCCTCTTCATGAGTCTAGAGCAAGCTTGTCTAGCCTGAGGCCCACAGACTGCATGTGGCCCAGAATGGCTTTGAATGTGGCCCAAGACAAATTTGTAAATTTGCTTAAAACATGAGTTTTTGTGTGTGTGTGTGTGTGTTTTTTTTTTAAGCTCATCAGCTATTTTTGGTGTTAGTGTATTTTATGTGTGGCTCAGGACAATTCTTCTTCCACTATGGCCCAGGGAAGACAAAGATTGGACTCTCCTGGTGTAAAGTTTCATTCTACTTAGACCTTCTGGGTTAGTTTGGTGGTCTTCAGAGGGCTTTAGGAGGTGACTGTTTTGCCCATTGTCCATTATTTCCCTTTTCCCTCTCTCCTTTCCCAAGCCAGACCATATCCATGGAGAAAATGAAATGAAATTATCTGAAATTCAGCCTGTTAGAGATCAGTGTGGTTTAACAAGCAAGTATCACAGAGGAAACTAAAAGAACTTGTTAATAATGTATGCCTTAATGTGTATCAGAGGGTACCTTCATGAGAGTTCTAGACAGCTGTAGTGGCTTCTTGGCTCTCAGACGCAATCCAGTCTACTTCTTCTGTTTCTACCCCTAGCTGACTCTACTCCAGCCACTTTAGGCACCTTGCTGGCCGTCTAGCACATTCCTGCCCTAGGGCCTTTGCACTTATTTGTAACCTCTGCTTGGAATGCCATTCTCAGGATCATTATCTATTGCTGCATAATAAACTATGCCAAAACCTAGTGGCTTAAGACAATAAGCTTTATAGTATCTGTGGTCAGGAGGGTAGGGCATAGCTGGCTGCCTTTGGCTCTGGGGCTTTTAGAACATTGCAGTCAAGCTGGGAACAAGGGGCTATGGTCTTATCTGAAGGCTGGACTGGGATTATAGGGATCTACTTTCAAGTTCACTCAGGTGGTTTTTGGCAAGGCTGAATTCCTTGTCATATGGGCTCCTGCACAGGGCTGTATCATACCATGACACCTTGCTTCCCCTGCACTAGCAAGCTAGAGAGGATGACCAAGCCAGGAGTTAGTCTTTTCAATTTCTAATCTCAGAAGTGGTATCTTTCATTTCTATCCTATTTTTTTCCTTTCCTTTCCTTTTGGTTTTTTTGTTTTGTTTTGTTATTGAGATGAAGTCTCACTCTGTTACCCAGGCTGGAGTGCATTGGTGCTATCTCGGCTCACTGCAAGCTCTGCCTCCTGGGTTCAAGCAATTCTCCTGCCTCAGCCTCCCAAGTAGCTGGGATTACAGGTGCATGCCACCATGCCCGGCTAATTTTTGTATTTTTAATAGAGACAGAGTTTCACCATGTTGGCCAGGCTGGTCTTGAACTCCTAACCTCAGGTGATCCGCCTGCATCAGCCTCTCAAAGTGCTAGGATTACAGGAATGAGCCAGCACACCTGGCCCTATTCTCCTCTTTAGGTGGGCGTCAGTAAGTCAGCTTATACTCAAGGGAAGGAACCTACATAGGACATGAATACCAGGAGGCAGAGATCATTAGGGACCACTTTAGAAGCTGCTGACCCTACCCAGATATCCATACTGCTTGCTGTATTATTTCCTTCTGACTTCTGCCCGAGGTGCTCTGTGGAAACTAGCATATGCTCCATCCTTTATTATGCTTTTTCTTCACTGCACTTATCACAGCCTGATATATAAAGCTCACTTTCATAAATGTCAAGATACATTTGCAATCAAAACTTTTTCTTCTCCTTTTTATGAAATGTTTTCCCGTGTTTTGTAATCACTCTCGCATTTTTCAGACATGAACTATACTTAATAGCAAGACTCTCCTATACTTGACATGTGAGAAAATCTTTTTTTTTTTTTTTTTTGAGACAAGGTGTTACTCTCGCCCAGGCAGGAGTGCGGTGGCGCTATCACAGCTCACTGCAGCCTCAACCTCCAGGGCTCAAACAATCCTCTCATCTCAGCCTCCCTTGTCACTGGGACTACAGGCACACACCACCATACCTGACTAATATTCTTTTGATTTTTAGTAGAGACAAGGTCTCGCTATTATTGCCCAGACTGGTCTTGAACTCTTGAGTTCAAGCATTCCTCCTACCTTGGCCTTCCAAAGTGCTAGGATCAAAGGTGTGAGCCACTGTTGCCAGGCCTAAAAACATTTCTAAAGATTGTTCCCTCACCTACTTCTTGTTCCCTCACCGACTTCTAGTGGTTTTTAGGACATAGCTCTCTTTTTCCAAAGATAAGATGAATGGCACAATTCCTATAAGGAAAGTGTAATAATCAGTGGAAGCAGAGAGCTGAAAAGATGAGGATTGGAGGAAAACGCAGTAGTGCAATACAGAAATAGCTACATGGACATTATTATACAAAAGCAATGACTATATTGCACAGCATTATAGAAAATGAAATATCACAGTAACAACATCAGCATGCTGTTTAAATTAACAACTCGTACTGTTAGTCCTCAAAACTGAATGTCAGCACTATGGCAAATTACCCCAAGGCTTATTTGCCCAAAACAATACCATATTTAAAAAATTTGTCATGATCCTGTGGGTTAGGAATTGGGAAAAGGCACAGAGGGCTTGGCTGGCTGCAGAAGCCGAATAGCCTCTTCCCTTCTATGTCTAGCACTTCAACTAGGAAGATTTCAAGAGCTGGGGGGCTGAGGAGACCAGGTCAACCCAAGTCACACGTCGGTGCTTCGGTTTCTGCTGTCTGCTGGCTTTCTCCATTCTCTTCTGTGTCAGTACTCTTCCCTCTCAGCGTGGTCTTTCCTCTTTGTAACTCCTGTGATCTCTCTAGCAAGATACCCAGACATCTGACATGGCAGCTTTGGACACCCAAAGAGAGCAAAAGGAGATACTGCCAGGCCTTCTCAAGGCTTAGGCCTAGAATTGGTAGAGAGTTACTTCTACAGTATTCTTTGGGTTGAAGGAAGGAAGACATAAACTGTTATGAGCTGAGTTGAGTCCCTCCAAAATTTCTATGTTGAATTCCTAACACTCAGTACCTCAGAATGTGACTGTATTTGGAGACAGGATTTTTAAGGAGGTGATTAAGTTAAAATGAAGCCACTAGGATGGGCTCCAATCCAATATGACTAGTGTCTTTCTAAGAAGAGGAACTTTGGATGCATACATTTTAAGAAGAGGAACTTTGGACACAGAAATTTACAAAGGAGGGCCAGGCTTGGTAGCTCATGCCTGTAATCCCAGCACTTTGGGAGGCTGAGATGGGAGGATCGCTTGAGCCCAGGAATTTGAGACTCCCCTGGGCAACATAGTGAGACCCCCATCTCTATAAAAAGAAATGAACAATGGGGAGGCCATGTGACGATACAGGAAGAAAATAGCCTGCTACAAGCCAATGAGAAAAGCCTGAGAAGAAAACAGTCCTACCGTCACCTTGATCTTGAATTTCTTGCCTCCAGAATTGTGACAAAATAAATTTGGTTAAGTCACCCTGTCTGTGGTGCTTTGTTATGGCAGCCCAGCAAACTAATAAACAAACGCAATCCAGACTCATTGAGAGGGAAAATAAGGTTCAGCCCTTCACTTAAGGTGCTGTATGTGCTGACTTAATGGCAAGGAATTGTTGGGAGCCATCTTTGGAAACCAGTTACCACATTATTATAATCAAATTGCTTTCCTAGCCCCTAGAACTAAGAAAAATGATTGTTGCAGGGGAAGGCACACAGACCTGAACAAGAAGGGTACTCAAGTCTGTGGGCAGAGGGGGAATGTAAGAAGTAGTAGCCGAATAAGACAAATTACCTACTTCAAGAACTTTCTGAAACCTCATCAAGTCCGAGGAGTTATTTCATTTGTGTAAGTCTTGCTTCCTTCTCCAGTCGCCCTTCGCCTTCCACCATCTGCTCACCCTTGCTCTCTGCACTGGCTATAGGAGGAAGCTAGTGGGAAGGAAAGGGACGGGTCAGGAAGCAGTTTTATCAAGAGTCTGTGTGTTACAGAAGATGCTTAGAAGGCACAGCCTGGGTAGTGACATGATCAAGGACTTTTATGTGTACAGGAAAACGTCACATGTGTGTTTTGTTGATTGGTTGGTTTTCATTCCTGGTGACATCTTTTTTTCCCTTTTCCTTTTTACTTGGCTTCCGCCTCCCCTTCTGTCCCTGTTCTCTCTTTGACAGCTTGTGAGATCCCTTTGCATGTTTTAGAAATCAACCCTGTGTCTGCCGTTTGGATTTCAAATCCATCTTCTAAGTCATTTACCATAGAAAAGTTTTTAAGTGTTACATACTAAAATAGGTCATTCCTTTTAGATGCTAGGTTTCTTTCTCTAGCCCTGAATTCCTAGATGTCACTTTACTAAAGATCACCCACTATAAGAATACCTATCCCAACAGAACACCTAGTAAATGCTCCATACTGACAATTAAATGTATGTTACACTTCTTATTTCTTTATTGTAATGACACACTCAAGCCCTTCATCTCTCTGATATTTTTTTTCTTCAGGGCTTCTCTCTCCAACAGTATAGCAGGCAGCTAGAGAGGACAGACATCACTCCTCTTGCAATCCTAGTATTTTTTTTTTTTTTTTTTTTTGAGACAGAGTCTCGCTCTGTCGCCCAGGCTGAGTGCAGTGGCCAGATCTCGGCTCACTGCAAGCTCTGCCTCCCGGGTTTATGCCATTCTCCTGCCTCAGCCTCCCGAGTAGCTGGGACTACAGGCGCCCACCACCTCGCCCGGCTAGTTTTTTGTATTTTTTAGTAGAGACGGGGTTTCACCCGGTTAGCCAGGATGGTCTCGATCTCCTGACTTCGTGATCCGCCCGTCTCGGCCTCCCAAAGTGCTGGGATTACAGGCTTGAGCCACCGCGCCCGGCCCCTAGTATTGTTATTCAGGCACTCCTTTTACTTGTCAATGCCAAGGAATGAGTTCAGCACAAAGAGCACAAAGATAGATACTGTTAATTTCCTGTTTACTTGCTGCAGTTTTCCACAAGACCAGTCATTCTCTACTATTTTAATGATCCTGGCTTCACATCAGAATCATCTGGGGAGATTCTTAAAAACAGAGATACTTAGGACTACCTCTAACCTACTTACCAGACTCTTAAAATGCTAGGTGATTCCCTTATGCAGCCAGGCTTGAGAACCACTGGACTAGAAGGTGAGTTGTCTAAACGTCTTCATATCCAGCCTGGCAAAGAGATATTCAGCAAGGAGTGGTTGGGTAAAGATCAATCCTTGCCTTCAAGAACTTTCAGAATGAGCTGTAAGCAACAATAATATTCAGTATGCTAAGTGATCTAACCATGCTCAGAGAGTACATTGGAATACAAGAGAAACAAACAATGGATTCTGCTAACAGTACTAGACACCTAAGTACTGAATTTTGTGAGACTTTTGGACCAGTTTGATTTAGTATTTATAAATTATCTTCACAGAATTTTGTAGAACTTAGCATCTGTAATTTTAAAAGGAATCTTGGACATGTTCATAGCTTAAGCTTGCAGTTCCATTTCTGGGAAATAATTGGACAAATGCCTCAAAATGATGTACAGGGATTTGTCTCTGAGCTCTCTTTATAGTATTTGAAATTATTTGCTAATATATTGAGTAGTGGAAGATAGCTTGTATAATTAGGGTACATTGGAACCACACATGCCCAGTGGTTCCTTCTCCCCAGCTCAGAGATGAGCTGTATCATATCTTTTTCCCAAGAGAAGTGACTAACATGTTGAAGAAGAGGCGAAGAGTGTTAATCTACCAAAGCCCCTCCACATGGAAAATATGGAGAGTGGCAGATAAATACCCTTTCCCCTATAAAGGAACTCATTATTTCTTTCAATTTTTTTAGTGAGTTTGGGAGAAAAATGTGTTTCTTATGTGTACACATGTGCTTCCTTAAACAAACTGAGATTTTCACACTTTTTTTGGGGATACAGGTTCTTTAATGGAGCAGCCAATCTCTCTGCACACCTGGTTTCATCTAATAATCTACAGACACCAGCTCTAAGGCCAGTTAATCATCCCCAGTGTCCATGCACAGAATAGTCGGTCCTCCTCACAATGTTGGACTTTCTAGCCGAGAACAACCTCTGTGGCCAAGCAATCCTAAGGATTGTTTCCTGTGGTAATGCCATCATTGCTGAACTTTTGAGGCTCTCTGAGTTTATTCCTGCTGTGTTCAGGTTAAAAGACAGAGCTGATCAACAGAAATATGGAGATATCATATTTGATTTCAGCTATTTTAAGGTAATCTTCCTCAATAGCTTTTTTATTTGTTGTCTTTTCTACAAAAACGTGTTTTCTCTGGGAACCGTGAAACTCTGTAAGGTTAAGTAGTTATGGAAAAAGCTAAAGAGAAAAGCTTCTGGACTAAACGTAATGTTAGCTACTAGCTTGAAAATAAGTTGAAGGTATTATGTGAAAGCCCTAACACAATATAATTGTATTTTTAAAACGTAACTTTGACATTTCACATTGAAGGGCCCCATACTTAAAAGCATGCTAATCTTGGGTCCAATTCAAATTCATTTATCTCAAAGGGATTTTACATCTAGGCTTCTATTATCTTCATTACTTTCTGTTGCTCCGCTTTAAGTTTAGGATGTCTAAGAACATAAGAACAAGTTTTTAAAAGACTATTTGGAAATTGTCACCAACAAGTATGCTTTTATTGACATTTCATGTGTGTTTTTTTTTCTTAGGGTCCGGAATTATGGGAAAGCAAACTGGACTGTAAGCCAGAGCTACAGGATTTAGATGAAGAATTTCGTGAAAACAACATAGAAATTGTGACCAGATTTTATTTAGCATTTCAAAGTGTGCATAAATATATTGTAGACTTAAACAGGTATTGATCAATTTAGTAACAGCTTATTCTGGTGGTAAATAGTGGAGAGGGAAAAGGACACACAACAACGTGTAAATCTCTCTGAGTTACTATAAAATTTCCTAATTTAGTGTATGCCGTATAAAGTTGTCTCTTCCTTCCTGTTTCACTGGTCATCTTAAGAATTTTAAAGTTTTACTATAATGTCCTGCTTTTGTGAGATGTCATAATAAATTTAGTTTATACTAAGTCATATAGTTTCCAATCCTGTTATTTATTATCATATTCTAGTGTATTATATGTGAAAAGTGGGAAAAAGAACTTATTTTTATCATTAACTTTCTGTCCCTTATACAGTTCTTAAGAATTCATTACTCATTAACTTTTAAACTAGATATTCCATGTTCTTCTGCCTTTACTCCTAGATACTTGTAATTCACAAATCAGGACTAGGGAATATTTCTTTTACTTGAAACAGCCATAAATATCAAACTGTGGCCCTAAATCAGTTTATAAGACTGTATTCTTAAGAGCATGAAGGACCATGAACTAGTGGAAGGCCAGAATGCCTGGCATCTTGCCTTATCTTTTAAACATCTTTCCTTCTTTAAAGATGTTAAAGTTTCTATTATAAATTAATAACTCGCTCTGGGATTTTATTTCTAGATATCTAGATGATCTCAATGAAGGGGTTTATATTCAGCAAACCTTAGAAACTGTGCTTCTCAATGAAGATGGAAAACAACTTCTGGTAAGTAATAGTGATTATTTAAAATGAAATTCAAGAATTTCAAACATAGTATCCCTTTTTTTTCTTCTAAGTCATAAATATAAATGAAATACCCTTCTTTAAAGAGAAGCAAAATGAGCTTTTAATTATCTTCTAACTGGCGGGTCCATATCTGAGTTTAGAACGTAGACTTTGAACGGAATTTAAAACAATGAAAAGTTATGTGGAAGTTATGAGCCTCCTCGGTGTAAGAATTCTGTCTTCTTTACTTTTTGCATCCCAGCCATCTGTCCTGGTACCTAGTACATACTGACCATTTAAGAAATGCTTATTGAATAAGTGAATGACTTTATGGTGAAGTGAATGACTTTATGATGAGTAGGATGCTATTTTGGTGTCCCAAGCAAAATAGCCAAAATAGGTCAACTGAAAGATTATCACTATGAATTAATATCTATTTCACATAAACTTTTCAAGTCCCATTCTGCAAGAAGGTAAGAGCTCTTTGGAGGAAACCTACCTTTTCCTTGAAATCTAAAACTTTTTGGAGAAGTGTGAGCAAAGCGATATTTTTCATGATTACCGACTTTATTCCCTAAGAATGTATAATCTAGTGATTTTGGCTTTTGTCCTCTTCTCTTCTTAGTGTGAAGCACTGTACTTATATGGAGTTATGCTACTGGTCATTGACCAAAAGATTGAAGGAGAAGTCAGAGAGAGGATGCTGGTTTCTTACTACCGATACAGGTATTCCTGGGCTAGGACTCCACTTCCAAAACACTGCTGTTAGTAAAATGCGGTGTATGTCCCCATATTTCTTCTACTGTAAACAGCAGTAATCCAAGAATAGATAAGAAAGTATACGATTCATCCAGGCACGGTGGCTCACGCCTGTAATCTCAACACTTTTGGGAGGCCAGGGCCGGTAGATCATCTGAGGTCAGGAGTTCAAGACCAGTCTGGCCAACATGGTGAAACCGTGTCTCTACTAAAACTACAAAAATTAGCCAGTCGTGATTGTGGGCACCTGTAATCCCAGGTACTCAGGAGGCTGAGGCAGGAGAATCGCCTGAACCCGGGAGGTGGAGGTTGCAGTGAGCCAGGATCACGCTACTATACTCCATCCTAGGTGACAGAGCGAGACTATGTCTCAAAAAAAAAAATATAAGATTCTTATCTCTTGTGAGCATACTGTAGGACTATAACAATTACGCCATAGTATATTTCATAATAGATTATAGATTATATAATCTATATATTACATATAAAATATTCTATGTATTGTAGATTATTAGAGGTATGGATTATGCTGTCCGTAATGATAACTCCAATTTTAAAAAGGAGTCTGAATTGTGAACTTTCTTTACCTTGAGGCTAAATTTCAAAGAATATTAGAAATCTAATGAAGGTTGTTTTTGCTTTTGTTGTTTACATTTTCAAATATTACTCCTTGGCAGATACAAAGAAAGGAGTGTGCTTTCTGTTGTCATTTTCAGTTTGATGACTTAGAAAAGTTGTCATTCAGAGTCAAGTTGAAAGTGAATTCTTTCCCATATTTACATAGAAGCAAAAACAAATCAAGCAATAGCACATATCCACAAATCATTTGTCGTGTATCTCTATACGGAACTGTGATTCTTCGGAAAGTAAGGTCTTGAAAACAGGAGCCATCTTAACCAACTTTTTAATTTTAGTGTCTAACACACAGGTTTTCAATTTGTTGAATGAGCTAAAAATGGAATACCAGGTCAATGTTGGAAATAGTCAAGATTCAGAGAAGAAAGTGTCAATAAGGAGGAGTCAGTTAGGAGCTTGAGCTACAGATGTAAGGAGTAGAATTAACATTTTCAAACTTAAAAATTAGGACAAAATAGACAAGGAGAAGGGGGTTCTTTGGGGACATTATATTTTCAGCAATACCAGGTACCACTGTGTCCTCAGCAGGAAATTAATCTTAGGCTTCTCAACTAGCCTTTTCCTTTCAGCTGCATCAGAGTGCGAAGGGAGCGTTCTAGCAGTGTTCATTCATGTCAGTTTGACCAAGCTGTTTTAACATCCATGTTTTTAAAAATGAGATTTGAATGGCCTTTCCTATGTTTCTGAGAGTACCTGGAAAAACAAAAACTATAGGCAGTGCAAAGAAGAAGAAAAAATTATTGGCTTATGAAGCCCAGTTTTGAAAATATGGCTTTGTCCCCTTTGGTACAACAGCTAATTCATTAGAATGTGAGCGTTCATTATTGAAGTCACACTGAACACCTCCAAGTCACAGTCGTGGCAAAAGAGATCCTTACAGCGAATAGCAGGTCATCTCCAAGTCTAAGATTCTTTGAATCTAGTTCATTTCTTTCAGAGCTTACTATTCCACCCGGAAAAATCACAGACCTGTTTATTAGATCTCTGTAGAAGGAACAGCTTGCCAAGAAAAAAGTAGAGATTTCACTTTAAATTGATATAATATTTTAAAATTATTTTTTAATTTGTAAAATGTCAGGGTCACATTCTTTACCCACAATTTTCAAATCCAAAGAGCTCTGAAAAAATATGTATACACGAGTACACACACAGCACACATGTACATATACATAGTAATTCATTTGGCAGCAAAACCTGATCTAACCTGAAATCATTTGGAGTCAAAACTTGCCTGGAATAGGTGTGAGGCTATGTGTAGTCTTCACTTAACTCAGTTTTGTAAATATTTATAAATTTTCATCCGGAATTATTCACTTATGTTGATCATGGGATGCCAATTCAGACACTGCTGGAGTGTTATATTGTATATGATCTATATGCCATATTGCTTTCTTATATTTGAGAAATGCTATATTCTGAAACAAATCCAGTCCCAAGGATTATGGAAAAGGGATTATGGACCTTTACATAGAACGAATACCTATCTTTTAAACAGGCTTTCAAAAATATAATTTCAAGGCCAGACATGGTGGCTCACACCTGTAATCCCAGCACTTTGGGAGGCTGAGGTGGGCAGATCAGTTGAGGTCAGACATTCAAGACCAGTCCTGGCCAACATGGTGAAACCCCATCTCTACTAAAATACAAAAATTAGCCAGGCACGGTGATGGATGCCTATAGTCCCAGCTACTCGGGAGGCTGAGGCAGGAGAATTGCTTGAACCTGGAGGCAGAGGTTGCAGTAGGCTGAGATCATGCCACTGCACTTCAGTCTGGGTGATAGAGCAAGACACCATCTCAAAAAAACAAAAACAAAAAGTTTATATGTACATACATAGCAAGACTGTATCTCAAAAAAAAAAAATACATATATACACACATGTACGTACACATAATTGTGAATCTTGAGGATAGAGATGGACCTATGGTCATATCTGAAACTGTATTGAGTCAAAGTAGAATGGAATTCTTCTGCTTTGTTGGACTGTTCAGTTTCTAATATGTGTGGTTTGGGCCTTTGTTTCCCATTGTGAATATGACTCAGTGCTGCTCGATCTTCTGCTGATTCAAATATGGACGATATTTGTAAGCTGCTTCGAAGTACAGGTTATTCTAGCCAACCAGGTGCCAAAAGACCACCCAACTATCCCGAGAGCTATTTCCAGAGAGTGCCTATCAACGAATCCTTCATCAGTATGGTCATTGGTCGACTGAGATCTGATGATATTTACAACCAGGTGGGAATTAAATCTGTTAAGACCTATTAAGACTGTTTAACAGACTGATTTCACTTCCCTCTTTAATTACGCCTTTCCTTCCTTCTTTCCCAAAAGAGTAAAAGCAGCTAGAACCTTTTAAAACTTTTTGAGCTATGCCCCAGGATGATAAAGGAAAGAGGGTTATTAATTTTGGCAGAATCAGAGATTTCCAGGTGAAGATGGGATTTGAGCTGTTGGGAAGAAGATGCATTCTTTTAGTCATTCATTCAAGAAATAGTTATTGAGTGTGTGATATGTGCCCATTCACGTGCTTGGTGCTGGGGACCCATCACCGAGGAAGGCAGGCCGTGTCCCTGCCCATACTGAGCTTGTAGCTTAGGAAAGGCAGATGACAGGATTATAGTAAAGCAAGATGGGTGTCATCTTAGGGGAAGCACAGGGTGCCACTAGAGCATGCAGCAGTGGCAGCAAGGTCACAACAGGTGACAGAAGGAAGGTAAGAGGAGTGCCAGGAAAGGAGGCAGTCTGAGCAAGGCTGTAAAGATCATGCAGCATTTGAAAATCATCCCTCTCCCCTTGCCAGTGTGTGTAGTATTCACTTCCTTTTAAAAAACGCCAAAGAAAATTACCATTTGACTTCATTGTTCTGAAGAAAACGTAATTTTAGATGTTGTATTTTTAAATATTTGTAAAAATTATGATTAGGGAGTAAAGAGGCCTGTGATAACTGTGGATATCATTTATCACAGAATGAACCTGATCTGTGCAGTTCTTTAGGTAGCTTGTTAGGTTTTTGTGTGAATATGTTAAGTATAAATAAGAGGGTTTTTGTTGTTGTTGTTGTTGTTTTAAGACAATTCAAAATCAGAAGCTACCCACAGATGCCAGGTCTCTATAATAATTGTTGCCATTCATTGAGAATTCAGTCCAAACCAGCCACAAAGGAGGTTTTGTTCCTATACCATTTTCTCTGTTCCTCACAATAGCCCTGTAAAGTAGATGGCATTATCCCCGTGTTGCTGTTGAGAAAAATAAGACTTGGAGAGCTTAAATACTTTCCTCAAGTTCCTGTTACTAAGTAGCAGAACTGTAATTTCAATTTGGTCTGTGTGAATTTAGAACATCTCATTCCTGAATGCCTCTCATTCCACATCCTTCTGAAGGCAAGGTGTTTCCATTTCCTCCTTGCCCCATGATCTTTATTAGCACAAGGGTTAAGCTGCGGTTGTGCTGTGTGTCTACCCCACTCTCTGTCCTGCACCTCCCCCATCCCTGGTCACGGCTGATGGATCAGATTCTGTCTCCAGGTAATTTGGAGTTGGGCCTGAGAAACAGTTTCTGGATTGGGGTTTATCCACAACATACAAAATACATGGCCTCATTCTGCCATGTATATGGAGAGTAGCCTGGAGGGAGAGAAAAGTTGAGCTGACACATCAAGGGGAGAAAGAGAGAAGGCATTCCGGTTCCCAGCCCCGGCCCCTTCCTGTGGCCTGGCCACATTCCTGCCTGCAGGTTTCATGTGACATGGCTATGTCTGTCCTTAAAACAATTTATCTCCTTTTTGCTTGTGGTAGCTCAAGGTGATATGTGCTTTGTGCATCCAAAAATTTCTAGTACACGAGGGGATGGACTCCTGGGGAACACCAGCGTTTAAAAGGTGGAAGCTGAGGACTCAGCAAAGGAGATTGAGAAGAGAGAGTGGTATCTAGGAAACCAGAGCAGGAGAGATTTCATTCCTCAGAGAATTTAAGTGAGAGTCTTAAAAAGAAAGCATCGAATTGGATGGTTGTGAGGTCATGAGCAACCTTAGGGAATTCCACTGGGATGATGGTGGAGGTGAAATTTCAGTGAGTTGAATAATAAACAGAAAGTGAGAAAATAGCAACAGTGAGTAGAGCCTGTCAGTTCTAAGCGTTGTCTCCAATGGGAAAGATACAGAAATGAACAAGTGGTGGGAGACACAGGGATAGGACTTTTTTTTTTTTTTTTTTTTTTTTAATAAAAGACTTAGAATTGCAGTAGTCAAGGGCTGGAAGAAGAGGATATTATGGAGTTAGGAATAAGAAAGAAGACCTTGGCAAACAGTGGCACAGTCTGAGAAGGGCTTCCAGTGTCCAGGATCCTGAAAGGTGATGGGCTTTGGAGAAACTGATGTGTCTTATAACCAGAGTTTAATTCGAGCATGTCTACATGCAGATGTTGCCAACAGCTTTCTTGGGGTGTCGTCTTGACGTTGCAGGTCTCAGCGTATCCTTTGCCGGAGCATCGCAGCACAGCCCTGGCAAACCAAGCTGCCATGCTGTACGTGATTCTCTACTTTGAGCCTTCCATTCTTCACACCCATCAAGCAAAAATGAGAGAGATAGTGGATAAATACTTTCCAGATAATTGGGCAAGTATTGCTAATTTTTTTCCTCTACAGTAAATGTGTTAGAGAACTAACTTCCCATTCTTTTGGCCTTTAACCCAGAGGTTGTAATGTTGTAAATAATGGGACATAACATCACATAGGTAAAGTTGCTCTAAGTGTTTTGAGAATTTTATAATTAGAACATGAAGGAATAAATGAGTCAGTAAAATTTCCTGAAGAACCCACTAGTCTTTTTCCAAAATGGATACTGTCAAGATTAAATCATTTATTAAAATATCTCTTGCTTTAGCTACTGAGATTACAACTAAGTTGTGTAAGAATTTGTTTATTCTTTTCTATTTTCTGATTCTAAGATAGCCGAATTCATCTAATTTGTCACTTTGTGAATAGGAATTTCACTTTAATAATAAAGTTTTACCTATAAGCTAACTGTAGTGGGGTTACTAGAGTTTATATTATTGCAAGGATATACTTGTACCTTTGTAAGCATTGTTTCATTTACAAATATTCTTATAGGAATAAAGCTTGCTTCATACTTAATATATATGAAATGAAATATATGAAAACAAAGAGGCTTTAACAAAATGCAGGGAGTTGGATTATATTCGCAGGTAGCAGATTTTGTTCTGCTTCTATATCAGCTATTGAATCACATTAACTATCTGTTATGAGGGCCCTTCAATTTATTGGTAGTATGAGAACAGCCTACATTAGGAAGTGATGGTTCCTGGCCAACTGTGAATCATATTACTGAGCTCAGAGTTGAGCAACCAAGAGGAACACACTGATAGTGTGGCTTCATGTTCCTAAGTTTAATAAAGAAGTTTTGACCATGATACTGTAATTAAAAACATATTTATTATTAAGAAAGACCAAAATCCAGTTACATGAAACACATAAGATACACACCTGAAAAAATACCCTGGCATACTGAAAATGAAGGGATTTTAAAAAAGATATCCCAGGCAATTGCCAACCAATAAAACAACTGGTGAGAAAACATTAATATTACACAATAGAGAATTTCAAAAAGAAACGTTAATAGGTGTAAAGAGATCTTTATACCTATTAACATGAATTAACAATCAGGAACACTTACTTAACAATCAGGAACACTTACCTATATATTTGGAAAATCTTGGTTTTTCATTGGAATGGAGTTTAAACATGGAATGGGTATTGCCCTCTATAACATTTTATGTATCCAACCCTTTGCCTTGAAGTGAGTAGGAATTTAACAGATACTGAATGTCTCCTCTTTCAGGTAATTAGTATTTACATGGGAATCACAGTTAATCTAGTAGATGCTTGGGAACCTTACAAAGCTGCAAAAACTGCTTTAAATAATACCCTGGACCTTTCAAATGTCAGAGAACAGGTAGGTTCTAATCTGGGGACATTCTCTAATAACTGCAGGCCTAGTTTATGAAGTAACAAATAAACTAAGTAGATTTCCCAAGGAATTTGGAGGATATTCACTTAGACAATTTAATGCAATGATTAACAAAAGGCGAATTTTATAGGTTAGAATAACATAGGTAATTGTAGGTTTTTAAGTTACATGGTATATATAAATTGGCGATTAGGATCCTGAGGAAGATTCAGTATAATCTAAGACAAATAAGAGTGGCGTATGCCCCAAATGACTTAGTTTACTTTTGCTTAAAGACTGTATTCTCATGGCCAGAGTTGGTTGTACCAATAGCTGGAATTGATAATGTTTTTATGAATAGGATGAATGATGAAGATGGTAACTGAATATGGATAATATGTCCTGTCACTGTCATTTAAATTTATCATTTCTGATGTGCTAAATAAACAACAAGACTGAAGACATTCATCTTAAAGTTTAAATAGTTATATTCTGTCTCTTTTGTTCTTACACAAGGCAGAAGGGAACATCCAAGTAAGTAGAGGAATAAAGATAAAATCTTGGGGAGCATAGTTAATATTTTTTTATGTTCCTCATCCTGGCTCAGTTACTGAGTTTCCTGTGTGGATAAAACAATATTGACTCAAAAAACTTCATCATGTTTTATTCAAACAAATTGAATTCCATAAATAATGCACAAAATAATTTCAATGTTGGCACATCTCCTGGAAATATATTAGAGAAAGTGGCACTTTGATACTTACCAACATCAGAACATTAATTTTTCATTGCTAAAATCCCTTTCTAAAATTGCATTTTCTCATTTGTGACATTTTTAAGAGGTTTCTTGATACCATAGATTTCAACTAACTTGCCGAGGTTGATGATGTTTAACATTTGACTTGCTTTAAGTAAAGCAGAATAACCAAAATTTCCAAAAAGCTGGTTTGGAAATTCATTTTTTATATACTAAGGTGTATTTTTTGCTAAGCTTTCATAAGTCTATAGAAGAAGTCTTATATTTTAAGTGTTTCTGCTCTGTTCTGCCTTCTTTGTCAACAGTATTAGCGAGAACAAGCAATTGAACTTCTGTCCTTATTTTCTTTTTCATCTAAGTTAAGAATAGAAGAGTTCTGAGGAACCACCTGGTCCAAGTCTCCGTCTGAAATTTGAAGAAACCAATACACGGGGATTAAGCCCCAAGTCACACCAAAGTTTAATCACAGCCAGAACTAGGATGTAGTCTCAGAATTCTAAGTTCAGTGCTTTTTTTCAAATGTGTTCAATAAGCCAGTTGTCTTTGAGCCCTATAAGTATAGTCCATATGTTCATCTTATATAGAAATGTTATCTTTGAACCCTAGAACTATAGTCCATATGTCATTCATCTTATATAGAAATTACATAAAAATGTTAATGTTTGAGCCCTATAACTGTAGTCCATATGTCATTCATCTAATAGAAATGTTATCTTCGAGCCCTATAACTGTAGTCCATATGTCATTCATCCTATATGGAAATGTTACTATTTGTCAGTGAATTCATTTGAATGTGATTTATTTTCAAGATAAATGACTTTTTAAATGTAATTGAAGTTTTTTATTTGTCAAGGCAAGCAGATATGCTACTGTCAGTGAAAGAGTGCATGCTCAAGTGCAGCAGTTTCTAAAAGAAGGTTATTTAAGGGAGGAGATGGTTCTGGACAATATCCCAAAGCTTCTGAACTGCCTGAGAGACTGCAATGTTGCCATCCGATGGCTGATGCTTCATACAGCAGACTCAGGTAATGCACAAAAGGGGTGGCCATTTATATTGCTCCATATAAAGACTCAGAATCAGGACCTACTTCACGATGTAAAGTGATGTAGCAGGGAGAGAGGCCTTGAATGAGAAAGCTTTTTAAAGTTAGTCGTTTTTTTGTCAACTTGGATAGGCCACTAGCGTACCTGAAAAGCTCTCCCCTGTCCCGTACTGTTAGATGCTAGGGAATAAGAGGACGTTTAGCTCTCATGTTCAAGGAGCTTGTCACTGATCAGACTAGGGAGATCAAATGTGGACATATGAAAAAAATAGAACTGCAGATCTGTGGTAGGCAAATAATGCCTTCCAGCCCATGCCCAAAGATGTTCACGCCCTAGTCCCTGAACCAGTAGATATATTACGTGAAAAGCGGGGATTGAGGTTGCCTATTAACTGACATTAAAGTAAGGAGATGTTTCTGGATTATCCCAGTGAACTCAATGTAATCATAAGGGTTCTTGCTGGGTATAGTAGCTCATACTTGTAATCCCATCACTTTGGGAGGCCAAGTCAGGAGGAGAGCTTGAGCCTAGGAGTTCAGAACCAGCCTGGGTAACATAGTGAGACCCCCTCTCTACAAAAAGTAAAAAAAATTAGCTGGGCATGGTGGCATGCACCTGTAGTCCCAGCTACTCGGGAGGCTGAGGTGGGAAGATCACTTGAGCCTGGAAGGTTGCAGCTGCATTGAGCCAAGATCATGCTACTGCACTGCAGCCTGAGTGACAGAGCAAGACCATGTCTCAAAAAATATTATTAAAATAAGAGCCCCCACCCCCCGGTTTTTGTTTTGTTTTGTTTTGTTTTTTAATAGACAGGATCTCAAGTCCCCCAGGTTTGAGTGCAGTGGCACAATCTCAGCTCACTATAGCCTCGACCTCCTGGGTTCAAGCGATACTCCCACAGCCCCTGCAAGCAGCTGGGACTACAGGCGAGTGCCACCACGCCTGGCTAAGTTTTTTGTATTTTTTATAGAGACAGTGTTTCACTATGTTGACCAGGGTGGTTTCCAACTCCTGAGCCCAAGCAGTCAGCCCACCTCAGCCTCCCAAAGTGCTAGGATTACAGGCCTGAGCCACCACACCCAGCCTATAAATAGGGGTCCTTAAATCAGGAAGAGGGAGGCAGAAGTGTCAGAACCAGAGAGATAGCAAAAACTTGACTGGCCGTTGCTGGCTTTAAAGATGGAAGGGGCCACAAGCCAAGGAATACAGGCAGCCTTTAGCAGCTGAAAACAGCAAGAAAACAGACTTTTCCCCTAGAATGTCCAGAATGAGCCCAACCCAGCCATCACCTTGATTTTAGCCCGGTGAGCCCCATCTCAGATTTGTCACTTCTAGGATGGTGAGAGAATAAATTTGTGTTGTTTTAAGCCACTGAGTTTGTGGTAATTGTTAGAGCAGCAATGAGAAACGAATTCAAGGTCCAAGGCAGTAAACAGACACCAGGTGTGTCAAACAGACATTTGGTGTGGTTTGAGTTCAGAGTAGAGAGGCAAACGTTGCTTGGGATAGGGGAGCAGAGGAGGTCAGGAAAGCCCCATACAGGAATCAGGAACCAACCAGGCCTGTGATGAGGTTTTGAAGCAAAAACCAGAAGAAATTCTCGACTGCAGAAATGATGGAATAAGTGATACGATTTTGGAAGTACAGAAAAACACACGGGCCCACTGAGTTGATGACCTGGCTGGACCAGAGTACTCGTTTAGGGTAGACTGGGTCTTAGCCTTTTATGGGTCGTGGTCTCCTTCAAGACCTTCTAGCCACACAGTTTGACCATCAAGTTCAGATTGTGAGAAACGCCTCAACCTCTGGTGTAATGGTAGAAAAATAAGTAAGTTGAACTAACATCTCTGAGCTTGTTCAGGGCTGACACATTTTCTTATTCTTAGTAAATGCTGGATCAACACTAATTAACCAATACCTTCCCTCATCCAGGGCTGTATACCCCTACCCCTAAGAGGTGTGTCATTCAGCAGGCCTGTAAAGCCCTCTGCTTTTTGTTTTTCACTCAGCCAACTTTCCTTGAGGACCAGCTCTGAGACAGGTACTGTGTGCAGCACTTCTTTGTTCTTCCAGATAAGGCTGTGTCTCTTTAAAAAACTGCACACAAGATTCCTCTGTAGCCTCCCTTTGTAACATGGAAGCCCCTGTCTCACAGCTCTTACAGCCAAGATGACTTCACAGTCCCTCTGGCTACCGTCTGCTTCCACTTCCTATGGGTGGTCCACAGTGAAAACAGCAGTTGGACTTCCGCATCCTTCGTATCTTTGAAAATGTGTGGAGTTTCCCCTCAGCCTTCTCTCCAGCTTCTTAAACCTTTATCCCAAGAGCTGCTTTCCAGTTTGTTTCGTCATCTTGCTTGTTGGCCTATATCCATTTACAATTTACCCACAGTATGAACACCATGGCTGGAGTTTTTAATCCCTGAATCTGTTTTTAATTAGTTGAGTTTATTTTTTACATAAACTCCAGTTCTAATTTGAGGATTTTACTACATTGACTCAGCTTTTAATCTTCTTTACCAAAAGTCTTGCATTCACAAGCGTATAAACAACTCAAGCCCTCACTTTATCCTGTCATAAAACCAACTGGGGTTTTCTAGTGACTCAGCCTCATCTTCATCTTCTGTGTGACCCTGCCTGAGGGCCCTGCCTGTGTTCGGAAAGCCAGTAGTCTCCTGAATTTGCACCCATGCCAGGGACAACCTTGGCTTGCCAGAGGTCTGTGGTTTTATCTTCAGCCACATTTGTCTTTCATTTTTGTGCCTGGCAGTTGTCTGACCTGATTGCACAGGGTCATAATTTATCAGAAACAAATGATTGGCCTATCTGATTGTGAGTCACACGTGGGAAAAGTAACCACTTGGTTAACTTTTATGGAATTTCAGTCATGGTGTACAGAAAAGCAGGCCTATTCTCAGATTGCCTCCTGTTGCGTTGCTGGAGGCATTTCCCAGTCTTAGGATGCTTGTACAGAACCTTGTGAAGAAACATTCTCTGAGGAAATATGGGATGAGAAACGCTGGCTGGCTACTGAAGTTTGACCCCAAAGTTCTGATGGCTCTGCAGTTCTCTGGGTATGAATCCTTAAGGGTCAGATCTGAGAGAGATGGTCAGGCCCTGGGAACCCCAGAAGCAAACCTGGTTTATACCAAAAAGCTCGATGTTAAAGCACATTGAGGAATATAGAGTGTTTGTCCAACAACTGGGTACTTACATTCCCTATGCAAACATGAAAGCAAATTAAAATCAGGAGATTTCTAGTTCAATTAAAATTAGTGTAAAGACAATTGGAACTCCTTCTGAGTTTGTTTGATTTTTGTTTAGTTAGGTAAATATAGAGCTGAGAATTTTCTGTTTGTGTAATCAGTGTCACCGATTCCAATGTATTTCTTCCCAGATAGTTCTGGCAAATTCATGAAAAATCAGAACTCTGCAGTTTCCTGTGAAAACTGAGCCTCTTTTCCAGGTTGTCAGGAGTCTCCTCCTGATGGAATAACTTAGAAATCAGCATATAAGGTGACCTTCCACAGGCTTCATCATAACTAAAGCACCAAAACCACCCATGACATATACCTATACAACATTGTTGTTCTGTACTTGCCAGACATCCTGAGATATTGATGGGGGCAGGACTAGGAAGGCAGGAGGGTGTACATGTAATACTAGTATAACTACCATGGACCTTATACCTATCAGCTGTGAACTTGTTGACAAAGTCTATTTAAGTCTTAGAGTTTTTATTTTGACTTTGACTTTATTTGTCTTAGTTCATTTTCTGCTGCTATAACAGAATGCCACAGAGTAGGAAGTGTATAAAGAAGTTTATTTGGCTCACGGTTCTGGAGGCTGGGAAGTCCAAGAGCATGGTGCCAGCATCTAGCAAGGGTCAATATATGCCAGATAGGCAGAAGGACAAGAAAGTGGGTGCAAGAGAGAGCTCACTTTTATAACAAAGCCACGGTTGCAATAACTAACCCACTCCCGGGGTAATGGCATTAATCCATTCATGAGGGTGGACCCCTCATAACACAATTGCCTCCCAGGGCTCTACCTCTTAACACTGCCACAATGGCAACCAAGTTTCTAACATATGAACTTTTGGAAGACACATTCAAACCACAGCAGTAGCTTTGCCTTGTATTTTTGCCTTATTCTACTTATTCTTTCTTAGATAAATAATTTGCCTTATAAACCAGTCTAAGCAAATATCAGTATTTTTTATTCTATTCTTTTCTTTTAACTTGGCGTTTATTTCATTTGAAATGGTTTAGCTTGGCTGATAGGATGACCTGAGAATTAGGACATCCAGTATTTTTACCTTTGGTCATTTAACAAGCGTGTAATGCCTCCTGTCACTGGGGATACGGTGCCTAATTTTGTGACCTTGGCCTAGTTGCTTTAAGCTCCCTGTGCCTGGGTAGTGGATAGTTCAGAAAACTGAGTGCCTGCCATGCCCTCTGGCCTCTACAAGGAGCAGGATGGCCACAGGACTGCTGCTTCTTGTTTGGGAGTCCCTCGTCTTTGTGTGAGGAGCCTGTCCTTGTTGTGTCAGGCATTCCCCACGACCATTCCGGCTTCAGTGATTCACCACAAGGACACAGAGGACTCAGCATCTAGTAGTACTCACGGCTATGATTTATTATAGCAAAAGGATAGAAAGCAAAATCTGCAAAGGAAAAGGGCACATGGGGTGAATTTGGAGGAATGAGGCACAACTGAGCATCCTCTCCCAGTGGAGTCCCACAGGGCACACTTAATTCCCCCAGCAGTGAGTCGTGACAATGCATATGAAGTGTTGTCAACCAGGAAAGCTCATTAGGCTCAGCTTCCTTCGGTTTCTATTGGGGGCTGCACATTTAGGTAGCCTCTGCCCAGCACGTACCAAAGTTCCAGACTTCCAGAAGGAAAACGTTGTTTGTACAAACATTTAAGCCTCAGTGAGCTGACCTTGTGAGTTCTCAAAATGATGGCAGCTCTTCGTG